CTCTCTGGTCTAAACACGCACAATGAAAGATATCGATGAAGTCTTTAATCTGTACAAGTACAAAATAATTACATACAAACACATTAAAAAGGTTTTGCAATACTGGTAGTGTTGAAAAAAAACTACATCCAATATTCAGATCAATTTTCCATGCACTGCTCAAAACGGTCGATATGAGAGTTAGGTTGGCTTCGCACAAGCTTGCTCACTTGTGAACGGTACTTGATTGTGTTTATTCCTCAGAATCACAATAAGAGCAAATAATTATCAAAATTTTGTTTGGTGTGCTTCCATCTAAGCCTTTGAAAACGGCTTCTTGTACGTCTGCATGAAAGTATCTTCACCACTGGCCAACTAAGTATTTCTAATGCTACTCCTGTCTCACAACAAAATTGATTCAAATATACAGTTTAACTTTCAACTCATTGCTTTAAATAGTTGAATAAGTGTTTCGGTGGCACAAGCTTGCTTGCTCGTAAAATGTACTTGGCTGTGTTTATTGCTCAAAAGCTAAATAGGAGAAAATAGTTCTCAAGATTTTGTTTCCTGTGCTTTCATCTGAACCTTTGAAAACTTCTTGTTGTACGCATTCATATATCACAACATCCCAACTCAACAGCTAATGGTCACGATACTCATGTCTTGCAAACAAGAGTTGCTCAAGTTGTTGTTTTGAGCTTCCATGCATTACTTGAAAAGGTTGGCAAGAGTGTTTAGTGGCACAAGTTTTCCTCTTCGTGATACTTGGCTGGGCTATCACAGAGAAGGTGTACATTAGCAATTATTTCTCCACGATTTGTTTTGTGCGCTTTTGACTGAACCTTTCAAAACGGCTTGTTGTATGCTTGCATGTATAGCATCATCCCCATTGGTCAGCTATTTGTAACAGTACTCTTGTCTTGCAAATAAAGGGGGCTCAATTTTTCATTTTTAGTTTCCATGTATTGCTTAAAATGATTCATGAGAGTGTTTTTGTGGCACAAGAATGCTTGTCTGTGATACTTGGCTGTGTTTATCACTCAGAAGGTGGACAAGAGAAAATAATTCTCCACGCTTTCTTTTGTGCGCTTCCATCTGAACCTTTCAAAACGTCTTGTTATATGCTTGCATGTACAGCATCATGCCCATTGGACAGCTATTCGCAATGGTACTCATGTCTTGCAAACAAAAGGGGCTCAATTTTTCATTTTGAGTTTCCAGGTATTGCTTTAAATGGTTGATGAGAATGTTATTGTGGCACAAGAATTTTTGTCTGTGATACTTGGCAGTGTTTATCACTCAGAAGGTGGACAAGAGGAAATAATTCTCCACGCTTTGTTTTGTGCGCTTCTATCTGAACCTTTCAAAACGGCTTGTTGTATGCTTGCATGTACAGCATCATGCCGATTGGACAGCTATTTGCAACGGTACTCATGTCTTGCAAACAAAATGGGCTCAATTTTTCATTTTGAGTTTCCATGTATTGCTTTAAATGGTTCATGAGAGTGTTTTTGTGGCACAAGAATGCTTGTCTGTGATACTTGGCTGTGTTTGTCACTCACAAGGTGGACACGGGGAAATAATTCTCCATGCTTTGTTTTGTGCGCTTCTATCTGAACCTTTTAAAACGGCTTGTTGTATGCTTGCATGTACAGCATCATGCCGATTGGACAGCTATTTGCAACGGTACTCATGTCTTGCAAACAAAATGGGCTCAATTTTTCATTTTGAGTTTCCACGTATTGCTTTAAATGGTTCATGAGAGTGTTTTTGTGGCACAAGAATGCTTGTCTGTGATACTTGGCTGTGTTTATCACTCACAAGGTGGACACGAGGAAATAATTCTCCACGCTTTGTTTCGTGCGCTTCTATCTGAACCTTTCAAAATGGCTTGTTGTATGCTTGCATGTACAGCATCATGCCGATTGGACAGCTATTTGCAACGGTACTCATGTCTTGCAAACAAAAGGGGCTCAATTTTTCATTTTGAGTTTCCACGTATTGCTTTAAATGGTTGATGAGAATGTTATTGTGGCACAAGTATTCTTGTCTGTGATACATGGCTGTGTTTATCACTGAGAAGGTGGACAAGAGGAAATAATTTTCCACACTTTGTTTTGTGTGCTTCTATCTGAACCCTTGAAAACAGCTTGTTGTACAGATTCATGTACCGCATCATTCCAACTGAACAGCTAATGGTCACGGTACTTACGTCTTGCAAACAAGAGTGACTCAAGTTGTTGTTTTGAGCTTCCACTCATTGCTTAAAATAGTTGACAAGAGTGTTTAGTGGCACAAACTTTTTTGTTCCTGATACGTGGCTGTGCTATCACAGAGAAGGTGCACAATAGCAAATAATGCTCCACGCTTGCTTTGTGCACAAGATGCTCATGTGCTGTGACATGAGTATCGTTACAAATAGCTATCCATTGAGGATGATGCTGTACACGAAAGCGTGCAACAAGCCGTATTCAATGGTTCAGATGGAAGTGCACAAAACAAAGCATGGAGAATTATTTGCTATTGTGCGCCTTCTCTGAGATAGCCCAGCGAAGTATCAGGAAGAAGAAAGCTTGTGCCACCAAACACACTCATAAACCATTTAAAGCAATGCATGTAAGCTGAAAACAACAACTTGAGCCACTCTTGTTTGCAAGTCAAGAGTATTGTGACCATTAGCTGTTCAGTTCGAATGATGTGGTGCATGAATGTGCATTGTTTGAAATGTGTTATCTGAGTAATTGTGGGACACAAACTTGTGCATTTTCTGCTTGCCCATTTTGAGTTTTCTTTAAAGGCCTAGAAAACGTCATTTGAAGACATCTCTCTCATTTTATTGAGGGACGTAATCTTGCAGTGCCATGCAAGCATGGTTAAAAAAAAACGTTGGTGTAGTGTAACTGCAGAGAGAATTCATTCTTCAAAGAATTGAAGTGTCTAGTGTTAGCCCTCTTTATTTACTTTAAGGAAGTCTTACACCTATATAAGAAAACCAAGAAATACTTTCTGTCAAGCTTGTATTTCCGTATTATGATGGCAATCGAGTCTTATAACTTGTGAATTCTTGTGCGTCGCTTCGACTTCAGCATGTTAATATTGATTAGCACTCAGGAGAAACACTGGATCCTACGCCAGCTAGGAGTCACATAGAGAAGCATACTGGTTGTTTCCTGTTTAACTTATTATTAACAAGATTGTCAGTATCTATTACTCATTTTGTTTTGCACACTTATGCATGGGCGTCAGTAAGGGGAAAAAATGGGGTAGTTGTCCCCCGCAAGCCTCACTAGCACTTGCACCCACCCAAGCTATGGCAGTGCTTTCGCCCTACACCAGCCATTTGCACCCCTAAAGAGAGAATCCTGCCGATGACCATGCACTTATGGCACCGATCATACAGTTGTGTGTGAGAGCTGATCTCAATGCGTGTGCTCCTGGGTCATGTGGCTTCGCTGTCTGCGTTGGAGGCGTAACAGATAGATCGAAGACGAGAGAGTAAGCGCGGAGTCTGTAGATATCAAGAGCGACTGCAGCCTCGTTTTCTTCCTCAGTCACGCAGGCTGTCTCCCCACCCCTCGCTTTCGTTGCTTATGGGTGAAGTTTGTGCACATGCAGTGCGGCAGGCTTCGATTGTCGTAAAGTGGCTGTAGGCGTTCCACTTAGTTCGCAGCTCCTTGAACGCACATAGTGTTGTGCGTGAAGCTTGAGCACTGGCAGTTTTAGTGGCAACATGTAGCAAATTAATGTTATGTTTCTACAACTGCGGAGTGCATGTGGCTGCAGTTAGCTTTGCTTCAACAAGAAGCTGCGCGTAGAATTTGCGTCAAGTAATATCGTAATCTTCGTAGAATTTTCGGTTAGTAAAAATGAAGCGTGACTGGAAAAAGTGCACTAAAAATTGTTGTGGCTAATACGAGAGGGATCACTTTTTGCCACGGGGTAAAGCATGTGCTATGACAGGAATCACTGACTTGCAGCTCTAGAAACATAAAAATTGTGCCAGCCATGTAAAACTCTAGGTGTTTGGTTACCATAAATGTTGCTGAGGGATGTGCAGGCCAGTCTCGTGCGTTTAGCTGTCTCACGTTTTAATTGTTCTTCCTACTAGCAGCACTTTAAAGAAGCTCCACGTTATTCAAAACAGAGCTTTACGCATAATTTACAACTTAGCCAAAGATAATTCTTCTCCACAGCTCAGCTGTTTTTATACTATTACTTACGCTGAATTCTGGCATATGCATATACAAGATAAAGAATATATTAATGCTTACAGATACAGTAAGGTCAGCTGAATACTCATCTATGTAACACTTACGGCTCGTGAAAAAATTCTAAACACCACACATTAATTACGGGGCCCAGACGAGAATATCTCTACCATTACCCTGTGTATTGAACAAAAAATAGTCAACATCTCGCGTGTCTGCGCTTTATGCTTTCGTCGTTAATCTAGAATAACACGGATGAATTTTATCTTTGATGTGTTTTTTTTTTCTGTTGGTCTCCTCGAAGCTGTGTGTACTGGTGGCGTTCTTTCGGCGATTATGTATGCTTATGTACGCCAGTTAACGTATGCCGTCACGGCATGCTGCTGAACAATAATCCGCTGGGAAGCTTAGTGAAGTTCAAAAAAGCTTTTTTTTTTTCACATGCTCTCCGCTGTAGGTAGGTCCAGTTTGTTACTGCGTCGATGAGAATCAACGGGATCATTGCAGAATGCTTAACTGCCATTTGCAATTTTGCGCGACCGGATGTTTACGAGCCATAAGTCAACACCAGCTGACAGCCGCACTACGGAAGCCAAAATACAAATTTTTGGTTGCATGAAAAAAAAAACTAATGAGACCAATCAAACTTACTGCACGCTTTTTTATGCGCGCGAAAAAACGTGAATTTATGGATTTGAAATTGTGTCAACGAGTTTTTTCTTTCTCGCCTCAAGTTTTTTTTTTTTCATTGTAACTTCAGGAGAGTCGGTTAACCACAAGCGGCCAAGACAAGCCCATTTTGGAGTCATTCGTCGTCAATATGGCGCTTGCAAGTTGTGCGATGGGGTTTGTTGCTTGTCTTGTGCTACCGGGTTTAAACGTTTCCTGTGTGCAGCCTCTATGCCTCATTGAACTGTGCGGCAGGTGTGAAACAGATGTGGTTCAGTAAAACCGTGAAGAGTCATTTGAAATGCGGGGTGCACCAAAAGTCACGTTCGTCGTTTGCGAAGACGGTTACCGCGCCGTTGTGGACAACCTCGAGAAATGCTTCATTCCGCTGAGCGTTGCCGATATGGCAAAAAAGGCCTTTATCGACAAAGTGAGCCGGGTAAGGACATCAAGAAGAGCTGCTATTACAGGGATGTCCACCTTCTTTGAGGTGAGTGTCGTTTTATTTTCCATGACGTTTTCGCTGGCGTGCGTTTAGGCGAACAAAGGAAGGCACAACGAAAACATGTTTGAGTGCGTGTGTGTTTTATTTTTTATGTGGCACATTTTATCCGTGTGTGTTGTGTATGTTGGAATGCTGCACCTGATACCGCACACTCGTGTCCCATGGGATCTTTCGATCGCAATCATGACTGATCTGGATTAAAATGTATTATGTGCGGCTGCACAGTGACATAAGTTGTAACTGGCACTGTTGATCGCGATCAAAAACCACATTCGGGTCGGCCCTGATGGCGCTGGAAACGTCCGGTGTGACACCGGTAGAGTTATTAATATATGAACAAGTCGACGTCGCTATTCCTGATGGCCAACCTGCACTACATTGCATTTATTTATTGTTCGCATGTAATAGTCACACATTCTACGTTTTCATTTCTGTGTGGTTATTTATAGTAGCCTGCTCTCCAACTTTATGTGTTCTCTGATTAAAGTATTTTTACTCACCTCGTGCAGATGGAGAAAAAAACGACTCGCCGTGCAACACAATCGTTTCTACCAGAGTGACTGTGAAAAGAACGTCAGAACTTGGAAGGTAAATGTGGTTTAATAGTAAAACTGATTTTAACAACATATACAAAATGCTAACTTCCAATGTCCTGGTTGCTTTCACAAGCCGCACGTCTATACAATAGTCGCTCATTCAAGTACATTTGTGCTAATTGGCTAGGCAAGGGCCACTCATTCTATGTTGCATTTTTTTTTTCAAGTTCTGTTCGGTCGTGAAGTAGTAACCAGAGCGAAAATGAAGACTGCTTCATTTGAAACGTTTAGGTACATATACCAGCTACATCTGTACATATTTGCCATTTTGATTCAGACATTTGTCAGTGTGTAGCACCAACTCATTAATTTGTTTATTCACAATACTGCAGCCTAGCATAGCCCAAGCTGCAGTGGAATTACAAGAAAGGAGAATGGTACAGAAATAATTAATAACAATACTGGCACCACACGTAAATAGGTCAGTTTTGCCAGGATGATTCTTACAAAGAAAAAGAACAGCACTAATACTTAGCAACTACACTTTTGACTTAGTAATGTAAGATTCTCAGTGATTTAGTATTCAGCCCAACAAATGTTGATCAAGGGCTTCATCAGAACTGTCTGCCTTGCAACTTCCTTTACTCTCCGCCTAGAAGTTCAGTAAGCGAGTCTGCATCAAGCAGCAGAGCGAAGAACAGGACTGGGTGGAAGCACAGGCCTCCTAGCCAGCATTTCATGTTAGCAAAAATATGGCAATCAGAGATAGCTAAGTTAGGTCTGTAGGGCGTTGGGCGACTGAACTTCCCGCTGCTTCCTCTGTGGCCCCATGTTGTCATGAAAAAAAAAAGACAGTGTCACTTATGACATCTCTCTTTGCTTATTCCTAATTGCACTCTGTAGACATTTGAGAGTTAGACCTACAATACTGCAGTGAGGGTCATGCCATGTCCCATGAATTAGTGAGGCATAAACTTGCAAAGGCTCATGGGATGCATGCAGTCTGCACCAGCTACCATTTCAATGGCTCTCCGTGTGCTGCATCCCTCCTTGAGTATTGGCGTTTATCCGTGTCACTCGCTTTCTTCATGGTAACCCAACGCATATGCTGCAAATTTCTAGCACACAATAGCACGGCTGCACCTACGACTGACCACAAAAGAGAAGCATGTGCTGTGATTGCCAAATAATATTTTCATTTGAAGTGGCAAACAACTGACTGTATGTGCTATCACAATTATGTGTTTTCTTTTAAGTGGCGTGGCCTTGGTTGTCACGTCTTTGAACTAATTTTACACTTGCTATTAATGCACATCACCGACTAATGTGCTTATTTTTACGTGTTTGCTTCAGTGAGGGCGCTCAGCTGTTTTTGCATTTGCAATTGAAACACTGTCGCTGTCTCAGATTGTTGGATATATAGTATCTTGTATCAACGTTCATCATGTGCAGTGAGTATCATATGTTACTAAAACTACGTGTTCAGCGGTGACGGCCTGGTAAAATGTTCAAATGTGCATGAATGACAGCGACTTTTATTTAGTAAAGTTGAGCTTCTTAGGCGTTTCGGCATTACATCGTTTTAGTGAACAAGCTGGTCTAGGCAATGCTCACCTCATAGTCAGGCACCGTGTTTGTTAAGGCTTGTTACCTGTCCTGCTCGCATGTGCACCAGATCAGGTATGAATAAATTGACTACTACGGAATGAATCCTTTGAGGAACAGTTGAAATCACTAGCAACACATTGTATACCTGTTCTATAAATAGGATAGTGGAGCGCCCTTTCTTGTCTACATAGCATTACTGACACATCATTTTTTCCAACTGGTGCGAAGTCGTCGCCTTCTTAACCACTACTAATTGTGTATACATCACTGCAATTGGTGCCGTGGATTCCACGGTGTCACCCCTGGCATGATATCGTGTGGCTGTTGGCTGCTCTGTCTTGCTATTTTCTGTATCATGCTCAGAGCTGGCTGCACGTTGCATAGCGGCCGTGCATTTTAAAGCAAATGCCGTATGCTTGTCGTAGCTGTGTAGATAGTGATTGTGGTTGTGATGATGAAAACTACACATCCAAATGACTTTTGTACTTCAGTCTTGGCGCCTTAGATTCTCTTTCGACGTGCCAATATGTTGATGGCACGTAGTCAACCTGCTATGGATCTTTTCTTGGAGCGCCTGTACATAAATACCGAATGTGTCAAACGAAACCATCCATGCAGGATTGTCGATAAATATTACTCACCTTACGCTAGGCATCCAAAGGCTATACCACTCACCATATCTCTCCACAAAATCCACTTCAATTTTATGTCTTTGTTCCAAGGAAATCTGAACATTTTTTCCCATTCGGCACTATTTTCGACATCTGCACAGCCGACTATGATGGTGCAAATTACTAGATTGCAACACAATTGAAAGAAAAGCCCTGTCTACGTCTCCAAAAGCGCGGCCAGCGAAACAGCGTGCCACGGATATCTTTAACTAGGAGCCGATGCAGATGGCAAATCTCATGAGCCTTTGTGGGTTTATGCCTCACCTATTTTATCAAGGAAACACCACCATTTATTTCCCCAAACACAGCAGCCATGCACTTCTTCTTGAAGAAGGTTCACTTGAATTTTTTTGCGCTCATCGGAATGCTTTCACTGTTTGTATTGCACCTTCAGTTCTGGAGTAGATCATGGTAGTGCCAGAGAAATGTCAAAATGGCACCCGTTTATCATTTTGTTTTCATGACCAGTCAGCATTTTAGGAACTGACTGCACGCAGTTTGCAGCACTAGAGTCTCACTCTGTGTCCAACCATGGTATACCATGTGTGCTGTATTGAGTTGACTGCAATATTTTGGGAAATGAATTACTCAGCCCAAAAATTCTGACCCAATGATTTTCCCGAATTATCTGATCCGTTCAGTCAACAAAATCATTGTTTTACACTTGCTTCATTCCCAGTCAGTCTGCATTGTAAATATTGTGCATCATGCTTCTAATTTCCTACACTATTGTAGTGCCTTGCTGTTATGTATTGAAAGTGGTGCTGTACACATTTCTCAATATTCGATGAATTTCAGCTGCACTGCACTGCTCAGAACCCTGAAATTGAATTCTAGCACACACTTCACACTTATCCGAGGCATGCTTACATGGGTGCTTTGCGTAAAAAACTGAAAGCTGGGACCTCATAAGATAGACGGGCACACTAAAGAAATCGTACAACACATATGTGTTGCATCATGAAATTTTAATTGCTTTTTATTCGGGGGCCATTTTGACTTTGAAAAATATAGGCATTGTATTTTATGAGCTGAAATGTACCTCTGGAGTGTCAACATGCCAAAGCAAGCTTCTCAAGTTATACTCATGCTGACTGTATGTTTGTTACGTTCATGAAGCAGTTAATTTTGTAATGATTTGCATAAATTCATGTGGCTAAATCACTGCATAAACATCAGTCTGCAAATATGATGTGCAACTATTGCATAGTTATAAATTAAGGAGCACATACAGCTGTGGCGGTCAGCAACACAGCAGACAGTATAATATTCAGGTGAATATTCACGGCTACCTATGAAGTAATATATGACTTAGTAAAGTAGTTACTGCCACTCTAGTTTTTAGGTACGTGTTACTGGAAAGTACAGACTTCGTAGTATGTTGTGTTTATCGAAAAATTCTCAGCAAGTGCTCCTGGAGAGTGAATGATAATTCGACAAGGTTTGAAGAGTAGGCCCTTGCTCAGTCATCGGTCAATATTTAACATGGAAGTGGAAGAATCACTGAGAATAAAAAATGCACATCTGTGCATCTACTTAAGCACTTTCTTGAATGCCCATGCATACACGGCTTTATTTCGCATTCACTCGGCAAATAGAAACAGTGAAGATGGTGGTAAAGGAGAAGAGGCTACTTATTTAGCACCTCTTGAAGAAAGTAGGGAGGTGCTTGCTCTGTTAGGAGTGCTTACTGTGAATTTTTTGGCATTTAGAGCATCTCTACTGAGTGGTAATATTTTGGGTTTATATATACACTCCCAAGACCACCCCACCCCTCCAAAAAAAAAAAGTCGCAGAAGGCAGTAATTCAAGAAAGAAAAAGAGCCCTGTAAGATGGCTCTGGCAATTAGAAGCTTGTTTGATTGAGCCTCCTCCAGAAAATTTTTACAATGGAACGAGTGGATTGAGCAACAAATAGAGGCTTTGGAGGAAAGGAATGGCAGACTTCAGAACCCCTCTCAGCCATAGGTCGGCAAACTCCCTCACAAGCCGAGTGACTCAAACTTGGATTGGGCCATAAATGAGAATCTGAATGAGCCATATGTGCAAATACATTTTGTGATTGAGTGAGCTTCACATTTTTTTTTTGGTCGGCCTGTGCTTTCAACACACCTTCGACAATTTAAAGATAGAATTTTTGGTGAGCCTGTAGTTCGCGCTCTCTTTTTTTTTCATTCATCTATAGTTAACACTGGCCCATCTGCCCTATGTAGGTATGGCCGAAGCTAAAAGGAACATTTTACTTTACGCCTGTATGGTAATCAACAAAACTTTTGGTGTGTTTACGAAACAAATGTGAGTCCAGCTTCTTGTCCCCTCTCATTGTTTTTCAGCATGACATTATATCTCGCCTAGTACCTAGTCTATTGGTGGCCATAATGCATTGATGTTGTGTCTATTTATCACTTTCTTTAGCCCCTGAGCTATGTTGTGAATGTAAGGACTACCCGCGACACACCCGTTACATGCTACGCTTCTCGCTTATTATGTTCACAGAAGTCCATCATAAATCTCTACCAACAAGCTCAGCTGTCCATCACTCTAAGTTGCAAATTTCTATAATGTAGTGAACATTCTTTTTCATGATTTCTTAATACCTATTATCTGTCACCCTTTAGGTTTCAGTCATATCCTCCAGGTCAGGCTCCTTCGGCACAAACACTGCAGCTGCTGTTACCACCACCACGGCCTATATTTCACTTCAGCCATTGCTGCATCACAACCAGTATTACACTTTCTGAGCCGCTACCACAGTCCTTCCCAATGATGCCTCACCTTGACAGGGCTTCATATGCTTCCAAAGGAAGCTATCAGGCAAGTGTGTACTGTTAAGAAATTTAGCTTTCAGTAGCATTGATGTTTTCAATGGGCAGATTAATTGACAAGTCTGCCAACTTCATGCTTCTTGAACAGGGTTGAACCTACGTGTGTCTGTCAGTGTAGGGAACCAAGTTTATCTGAATTTCAAAGTAGCTTATTCCTATTTTATTTTGCAATACTGCAGGCCTCTTCTCAGGCCCATGCAGGAATGGGTTGAACTTGAATACACAAAAATGTGAGGAAAATAAATAGACCTTATGTACAAAGCAAGTAAGAGCAATAAATATGCACATTGTACAGTAAGCAAGGTGTTCATATAAGTTCTGAATTCTGTTCATAAATTTGACAGAAGAGGAGTTCACAATATCAGCGGGCAGCATATTCTATTGCGAAATGGTGTGCAGAACTGAATAATATTTGTAAGGGTTATGTTAATAATTCTGTGTATGAAGAAAGCAGGGCAAGCAAAAATTAGAATAAAGTACTTTTTATTGTTTGCTTGATATGAAAGCAGATTCTTTTTCCACGTTTTTCATGTACCGTGCAATCCTGAGCAAGTGCTCCCACTATGGTGAAGGTGATGAGAATCGGAGGGGGGGGGGGGGGTTCTTGCTCGGTCTTGCATCAAAAATCAAGATTGTGGTGAAAAAGTCGCAAGTGCTTCCAACGAAACTGATACACTTTAATAAATATGCATGAATTCACTATGATTCTGCAACCTCGTTGCGCTTCTAAATAAAGAAAGTGAAGGAAACTGCAGAAATGGCAGGAAGGCGGGGGGGGGGGGGGGGAGTGCTTGCTCAGTTGTTCATGCATGTTTTGAATATCTTGAAAGAGAGAGGATGGAACTAGCTTGGTTGGGGGCGCTTGCTTGAGATATTACAGTATTGTCCTCATCCTGCGTATCTTTTTTTAATCAACTGAAACAAGCGACCTGAAAGTAAATGGCCCTTTTGTAGCTTATTGTAGCTTTTGTAGCATTTGTAGCTTATTTTCTTTGTAAATTGACGAAAAGCATGAAGTTTAGCATTCTTTAGCGAAAAGAAAAAGCTGTCCAACTAGTAATGTTTACGCATTTACCGAACTCAGACACAGTGAAATAGATAAGGTGGCACACTAATAAAATAGGTCAGCACAGAAAAAACTGCAATTTTCATTGCATAAGTAGAGCTCCATCTTCTCGAAATGCCATTTTTCGTTATGTCAGTATGATAATTTTGAAATGGCAAAAGATGTCATGCTGATTGTTTGTGCACATACTCAAGCAACACATGGTGGTGTACTGAACTGAACTTGATCTTTTAGAATAACTTTCATTTGATCTAAAAGAAAGTGTGCAAAATGTCCAAAATCATGTACAGGAGCAAAAAATGCAATTTTTTAAATAAAATAAACCATTCTTTGGTTCGGTCAATAGAACACAAGGCTCTGATCAAATTAGTATAAACTTCTGGTTGCTATCATTATTACATGCTTAAAAATGATTACAATAGGGTAAAAAATACGTGGAAGTCTGGGACTTGCCGGTCTTCTGTAATCGACACAGTGCTCTGAAATAAGGCAGTGTTTACATACACCCGCAGAGCTGTCTTATTCAGTAATGGAAAAGTAGATACATGGTGCAGAAAAGTTATTGTTGCTACCCCTTAATTGGAGGCAGTAACCGGGTAGACTCCAATGGCTGACTTAACAGCCCCCAAAATGCACTGCTAAAGCTTGAACAGTTTAACATCAGGTCCTTTTAGCAGGGGTGCAACAGCTGCGCCAATCGCGCCAATTTGATACAATTCCCGATTGTTGCACCGAGCTGCGCCAAACCCGTGAAATTGTTAAAATTGCACCACGCTGCGCCAAAATGCCCAGCCAGCCTCAATTTTTTTTTTCAGGTGTACTAATTGCGGTGAGCAGTGCAGGCCATGTCGGCCACCTGCAGCTTTGCGCCATCAGTCAAAGCGCGCAGACCCGAAGTAAAGTGCCTAGAATATACCTAAAATAATCTAGCCACCCACCCTATGCTCGTGAGACGTGATCGACCAGATAAAGTAACAACACTGCATGCCTATCGGTCCGCTGACCACAACAGATACGTATCGGCGGGACGGCAGAACTTTAAAACAAAGATGTGTTGGTGTAGCCACCAACCCTTCGCGGAAAATGTAAGTTCTCTTGCCAGAAACGCGGCTATGGCTTATTAAGGCTCGAACAAGCTCGACGTGCTGCAAATGCCGGCGTTGATTACCTTAGCAGTGGCACATAACAAATTTTGGCTGGAAGCTGAGTCCTTGCCACGGTCTTGGCGATAGATATCTAGTACCGTCGCCGGGGCAACAGGCGTACGCCGTTGTTACTTTATCTGGTCAAACTCGTCTTGCAAGGTAGCCGAAGCGGCACATAGCCCCATGCTGAAAAGGGTGGGTTGGAAGGGGGTGGTGAGTGGTTAGCAAACTTGTTGTCTTTGGTTCTAAAGCTGCTTGAGTCACCTTTGCCGCGCTAGACCGGTGCCCGCGAAAAAGCGTGTTGAGATTTACAAGGGGCTGTTCGCGATACTGGGACACCTCACATTTTGCTCAGTTACTCATGCGTTTGTACACCGTTAAATTCTGAGTACCAGTATAGTTACCGACGTGTAAATAAGCTACTGGCAATCATTTGAAGCAGTGTGTGACATTTATGCTTCTCTACAGAAATAAACTAAATTGTGCGCCAATTTTTTTTTACCACCTCTAGTTCTCGTTTTTACTAATCTTCCAAATTTCAAGCTCACAATATCGGCAGATTGATATTGAAATTCTCAGAGTTTGTCAATTGATTTAACAGGTGCAGTAAATGCTAATATGGACTTTATCATGGGTTCCTTAGAGAGGTGGTTCAAAATACTACCTTCATTGAAGTAGTAGTAAATACTATGCTCACACTACATAATTTAGGTTATGTTGAGTTGTTTATACATGTTTTTCTCTAAATGTAAGCCGCCTTTTTTATAGTGCTCCAAATTCGCTATGTCATGATAAAAATGCATGTTCTTTTTTTCCATAACCATCTCCGAACTTGGAATTTAGTGCTCCAAAAGTAACATTTTGCTGCTCCAAAAATTGCTCTAAATGGTATTTTGGCTGTTGCACCCCTGTTTAAGCATGCCAGCAAATGCCGGTTGGGGTCCAAAGATAAAGTCTGAGCTCAGAGTTTTGTTACAAGCATGAAGCAATGAAGGAAATAGGAGCAAATGGGAATGCTATAGAAAGATTACCACTTAACTCTTCAGATTCAATTTCACAAAACGAAACACTGGTTAAAGTCAATGTCAGTGCTTCTGAGAGTGAGTGGGTTTTTGTGCTGTCGGTAGTCTCAACGAATAGAAAGTGCTGAAAGCACACCACGTAAACAAGCCGTGTAGTAATATTTATCCAAATAGCACGCACCAGCACTCGTAACTGCGCCCTTATGTTCAATGGTAGCAGCTGTTGAAAGTGTCCATATAATTGCCATTGCAATATTTTATTCTAAATGAATGGCTAGTTAAATCACTGGACAACTCAAATGGGTTTAACAATGATTGTGAAACAATCAAGTATTGCTCATCACAAGCATGAAACTCAGGCACTCCAGATTATTCAATGCTTCAAGCAATGATTCCGTCACCAGCCCGACTAGTCCCTCCATGTAGACTGCAGTATTGACCAGGGGCTCCCCTGCTGCAGTCGGTGAATACTTGTTACTCCTCAGTGTCACTGTGTGAGACTCTCTTTCAAAACACCTCTTCAATGACTGCACAGCATCATCTATAAAATCTTCATCATAGACTGACTGACTGATGCCCTAATAAGGTGCTATTAGAAGCTGTTTGGTATGCAAAACATCACACTGCATTGTTTCAAATTTTTTCTGGCCAGTGTTTTTCTCGGCAGTGATGTAAGATGACCGATGGTACTACTTAATAATGTAACACTTCTCTGGACAACCGAAGAACTCTTCTATATCATAACACATTGCCTTACCAACTGAACCACTTCTGCATTTACCCTGTCTCTGCGTGCTTATATTGAGCAGCACCCTGCATAGGTTAAAAAGAAATCTGCGAATCATTCACACTCACTCATAAAATATATTTTTTCCTTAAGCCTTACTAGTAGACTCAGACTCGCATTGACTCAGACTCGCGGCTCAATGCAAGTCTGACAAGTCTGGTGAGTCGACTTCCGAGCCCGTTAAAATATGATGATCTTTTCCACACATGGTTTCAATGCTCCTTAATAGCAATATGTTGTATAATTGGTGCTCCAGTTGATGATCTTTTCCACACATGGTTTCAATGCTCCTTAACAGTAATGTGTTGCATAATTGGTGCTGCAGTTACAACCTTTTAATCTCAGACCTTTATATAGTGACTGCGACCCAGTAAGGTAATCTCTATTCAAAGAGATGGCACCTCAGATACTTTATGAGAATGTCCCGGGAAGAAATTCACAGGAGGGCATGTCAAAGAACCTCGACTCCCCCCCCCCCCCCTACTTGTAGTTCTGGCCTCTCAGCTATAAATATTGAGTCGGTGCACAAATGCTTGTGCATTGAGATATGTGTGAGCTGTGAAAATTGAGAGCTCAAGGCGCAAATCCATGTGGAGGGAGGCCGCTACACTGCCACGAGACACTGCAAGGTGCCAGCTGGAGCACCTATTATGCAATATATTGCTTTTATGGAGCACTGAAACTATAGGTGAAAAAGATAATCATATTTTAATGGACTCGTAAGTTGACTCACCAGACTTCGTCATTAGTCACTAACAACACAAAAACCCTTCACTCTTGGGAGCACTCACATTTGCTTTAACCAGCGTTTTGTTTTGTAGAGTTAAGTGAGATTGAATCCAAAAGAGGTAACTGCTAATATCGATTCTCAATTGCTATAATTCTTGAACAAGGGTGCCAATAGTTGCCATTTGCACCCTGGTTCGAGGAATATTGACATGACTCATCCATGCATAGCAAAATAAAGGCAAAGGCTTGAAATGAATAAGTTTCTTGCATGCTTTTCTCATAGCACTGTAGCGGCTTCCACATGACATTGTGTCCTGAGTTCTCATTTTTTCGGGGGGCTTTTGCACCAGCATT